TGCTGTATCAATCTACACAAGTTGCTCTTCACTCCCCGGTTATTTTGCTGCGGCCGGACTGCGGCAATTTTATTTATTTTTATGTGGTGCTGAGAATGGAACCCAGTTCCTTACACGTGCGAGGCAGGTGCTCTACCACTGAGCCCCAGCCCCAGCCCCAGCCCCAGCCCCATACATTGACCTTTTAATCCTTGTAGTAAACTTACAAGGCTGGTAGCATGACCCCACCCACTTTTTTTTTTTTTTTTTTTTAGTATTTTTCTAGTTGTAGATGGTCACAGTACCTTTATTTTGCTTATTTATTTTTATGTGTTGCTGAGGATAGAACCCAGTTCCTCTCACGTGCGAGGCAACTGTTCTACCACTGAGCCACAACCTCAGCCCCCCCACCCACTTTTTTATACCTGAACAAACTGAGGGACAGAAATCAGACAAGATATGCCCATGATGCACAGTTATTAAGTGACCAAGTTGGGGGATGGAGATATGGCTCAGCCCTAGACTCCTTGCCTAGCATATGCAAGTCCCAGCTGTTGAAATTTTTTTTTAAAAAATGTATGACCTAGTGGATCCTTTCTCAGTGCCATGCATTATTGGGCATACGTCTATTGATATCATAGCTATAGCAATTCCATAAAATTCTCAGTCCTTTTAGTGAAATGTTACCAAGGAAAAAACTAAATAGACCCTGTAGCTTTTCTTGCTTCTAACTGACTTTTAAAATCACTAATTTTGGAGGATGCATGACGAGGCAATACATTATTAGTCTCCCACTAACTTTGCTGCAGACACCCCTCTGATGTATGGGTTATGACAACAATTGTCTAGGTTACTCTTCAGGGACCTGCAGAATGCTTTTGTTGAAAACATTGACTCTTTTTTTTTTTTTTCCTCTGTGGTGCTTGGGGATTGAACCCAGGGCCTTCTGCATGTGAGGCAAGCACTCTACCAACTGAGCTATATCCCCGGCTCCAAAAACATTGACCCTTCACTTGGGCCTGCAGATGTCCAATGGCTGACTGGAATGGGATGGGGAGACTTGGCCTCTCTGTCTTGCTATTGTGTCTGTCTCCTTTGTTGCCTTAACCTTTGGGTCAGATTCTACTCAGCACTGCACATAAACATGTTTATTTATTTGAGATATGTTTTGTCCAAAACTATAATATAGGGTTAACTTGACCTAGACTTGACAACTGCCCCCACCCCAACCTCCTGCCCCCCACTTAAAGGTTAAAGACACTTATCAGCCATCATGATCAGAAACACCAGGCCATGAAAGGAATGACAAGTGGTGGCACCCAAATTCCTGGAAGGGCTCCACCTAGTCCCCTTTACCAACCTTCTCCCTCTCCCTTATCATTCCTCTCTTAGTTCTGGAATCCTTCAACTCCCTGGAATTGGGAAGCTGATTTGTGAGCAAAGCTCCTTCTTCTCCATTTCTTGGCTACTTGTGTCTTAGACATTGATTTTTCCATGGGAATGAGCCTCTGAACCTGGGTTTGGTAACAAAAGAATTCAATGAGGGGCTTGGGGAACAGACATGGCCTATTCAGGGGTTGATGGTGCCCAGGGCTAGGAATCCTGAGGCTGTCCTAGATCCCAGCAGGAGGAAGAATCTGCAGAGACATGGCCTCTCCGAGTCAAGAACAGTGTGGGCATGGAATGGTTTAAAAGTAAGATTATGCTTGGCTAGGCACGGTGGTGCATGTCTAATTCCAGCCAGCCTCAGCAACTTAGTGAGACCCTGTCTCAAAATAAAAAAACAAAATGGGCTGAGGATGTGGCTCAATGGTTAAGTACCTCTGGGTTCAATCTCTGGTACCAAAATAAATAAATAAATTAATTAATTAATAATGTGAGGATATGCTTAAAAAGGTCACAAATATTGCAGTGATTTTGTTTCTTATTTTATTTTGGTGCCAGGGATCAAACCCAGGGCTCCATGCATGCTAGGCAAGTATTCTACCCTTGGTTACATTCCCAGTCTCCTGTGTATTTTAACTAACTACTTTAAACAATGTAATTCATTTAACACAAACAGTACACAACAGTATAATTTACTTCTTTTTTTTTTTTTTTAAACAGAAAAGAGGTGTTTATTGCGAGCTAGCTCGGTCCTCCGCCCGCCCGCACACACAGCAACTGGTGATGCTGAGAGGCCGTATAATTTACTTCAAAGTGTTAAATTCGGCTGGGTGCAGTGGCGCATGCCTATAATCCCAGAGATTTGGGAGGCTGAGGCAGGAGGATTGCAAATTGGAGATCAGCTTCAGCAACTCAAAGAAACTCTCAGCAACTTAACCTGTCTCAAAATAAAAAAAATAAAATAAAATAAAAAGGACTGGGGATGTAGCTCAGTGGTAAATTGTCCCTGGGTTAAATCCCCAGTACCTCACCCCCACAAAAAAGTATGCAATCCAGGCCCTCCATACTTGCAAACAAAGGTAATGATGGCAAATATTCCTGGAGCTTGCTGGATGCTGCTCAAAAGCGACTGCGTGTTCATTGGTTAATACCCTCACCACAGCATCACCAGTTGGTACTACTGCTGCCCCCCATTAGGAAGAAAGAAACTATGGAACAGAGACTGATTTACTCTGCATTTAGGGAGTTGTGGTGCTGGAATTTGAACCCAGACAATGTGCTTAATGTGTCTTTATTAGGCAGCCCCTTCCGCCACCCTGGGGATAGGCCCTAGCCACAGGTTATCTCAGGTGGTTTCTCCCAAGAACCATTTCCTGGTATTATCATATTTTTATAACCTTCTCCAGACCATGGATCTCAAGGGTGACATTTCCTTGTTCTCTGGGGATCTGCTACCTCCCAGGCTGGCCCCCAAGCACTCAAAGAGGATTGGAGAGCAAGAGAACCAAGAGACTGGATGATAAGAGTGCACCAATGAAAATCACCCCCAGACTGGAAAGAACTGAAGGTCTCAGGGTTCTGGCCCCAGGGCACCTCTGGAAAGTCCTTTTATTATCGTTCCCTTTCCCTCTCCTCTTTATTCTAACCTGAACCTGTGGTGTTTTGAAAGAACAGTGGACTCAGACATTAGAGGCCTAGATCAGCTTCCTAATTGCTGTGTGACCTTGGGAAAATGGCTTTGTGCCTCTGAGTCTTGGTTTTTCATTTGTAGAATGGGGATGAGAATCATCACTACTATGCACTGACCCTGACTATGCAACAGGATTTGGATCATTGATAAACCTGGTTGAATGGTTGTAAACTATCAAAGGCCGAACAATTTTGAGGCAATATTGTTGTTGTTGTTCTTCTTCTTGTTTTGGTACTGGGGATTGAGACCAGAGGTACTTAACCATTGAGCCACATCCACAGCCCTTTATTTATTTATTTACTTATAGACAGGGCCTTACTAAGTTGCTGAGACTGGCTTTGAACTTGTGATCTTCCTGCCTCAGTCTCCAGAGCCACTGGAATTACAGGCATGCACCACCATGCTCAGCAATATTGTCATTATTCTGATCCTTGAACTAAACATTATTCCTCTCTTTGGTTACTTCCATTATAGCTGATATTTTTTCATCTGCTCCCATACGACACATCTACGCTTGGCTTTCTTTGAATATGCTTCCTGCTTGTTGTCATCTTCCAGATGGTTGAAACTATGTCTGAAAAATGTGAGGTACAGAGAACCCAGTCTAATGTGCTTACCACCTTCTCACTCTACTGTTATTTTAATATAACTTTGTGTGGAAGGATAACATAGCTAGAGAAAAGTGCGCTATGAGTGCTCCATGAGTTATCACAAAACAACTACCTCTCTGTAACCTTGGTAACTCAGTAAAGAAATTGAACGTTATCAACTCAGAAGCCCTTGCTGTGTCCACATTGTGCCCTGGCCCAGTCATTATTGCCTCATGTCTTATCTTTTGTGTTGCTAGAATCCAGCACAAACCCTGGCTAAGAAGCCCAGAAAATATTTATTAAACTGCACTGAGCCCCTCTGAGATTACTCTGTGATCTTGAGCTAGTCACTTTGACTTTCTTTCTTTTTTAATTTTTTTTTTTGTATTTGTGTATGGACAGCATGCCTTTATTTTATTTGTTTATTTTTATGCAGTGCTAAGGATGGAACCAAGTGCCTCAAACATGTCAGGCAAGCACTCTGCCACTGAGCTACAGCCCCAGCCCCACTTTGACTCTCTTTACCTTAATTTACTCTCCTATAATAGAGGACAGCAATTCAGTTATTTCAAAACTTCTCACCCTAGTTGTATATTAGAAATTTTGAAAAAATTCACTTGCTGGGGCACCACGGTGGAACAATTGAACTTAAATCTCCCAAGGTAGATCCTAGGTAATTAATGGTATTTGGTAGTGTGTGTGTGTGTGTGTGTGTGTGTGTGTGTGTGTTTACTGGGAATTGAACCCAGGCGTGCTCTACCATTGATCACATCTCCATCCCTTTTTATTTATTTATTTTGAGACAGGGCCGCACTAAATTGCTGAGGCTGGCGTTCAATTTGCAATCTTCCTGCCTTGGTCATCTGAGTGGCTGGGGTTACAGATGTGTTCCACCACTCCTGGCTAGTAATGGTATATATATATATATTTAAAGGCTTTCTAATGATTCCACCATTTCAGTAGTATGTCCTTAACTGGTTAGAAAACTGTGAAACAGACCTAAATAACTTGCTCAAGGTCACATGGTAACTAGATACATAAGATAATGTATCCTTCACAGTGTCATTGGGAAGCCTTCATAAGACTGCGGATGTAGATGTGAAAGATCTTTATAAACAGAACGGAATTTTGCCCCTGTTAGAATTTGTGGGTTCTGAACTTTTTTTTTTTTTCCCATCTGACTTGGCTTCCTCTTCCTACATGATGCTTCCTCCCTCGGCGACAGGGGCCGCTGCGCCGAGCCGGCGCTGACAGGTCCCTCTAGCCCGCGCGCCGGCTGCTCGCTGGTGCCTATAAATTGCAGCGCCCGGCTTAGCAGGGCATCAGTCCGCTGCCGCCTGGGCTGAGGTCGGGGCTAGAGCTGGAGCCAGCCGTGGAAGAACTGCAACTGGGCCGGGGCGGAGCGCAGCGACGCGCCGGGGTCGCAAGGAGGGGCGTGTTGCTGCTGGCCCACAGCGAGCCCACCCCAGCCCGCGCCGAGGCACCTTCCCGCCAGGCCGCCTGCCTCCTCCTTCCGCCTCCCTCCATTTCCCCCGGAATTTCAGCCCGGTGCTCCTGGACCCCGGCCCTCCCCTGGGTGGAGAAGCTCCGGCCGCTTTCCCGCTTCACTCTTTTTCTCGCGGGCTGGGCTTCCAGTCCTCTGTCTCCTTTCCCTGGTCTCCCCCCCTTCCTCCTCTTCCTTTAGCTCAGGTTCCCTACCCCTTCCTCTAGTCTCAGCGCCTCAGTCACTTTCCTCAGCCAAAGGTCCCCAGTTCCTTTCCTCTTCCTTTCCCTTGCCCGGGGTCCAGCCTATCCTGTCCCTTCCTTATTCCCTAGGGTGCAGTCCCTCCCATTCCCCTCTCCCTGGCCCGGAGTTCCAGACCTTTTGGTCTTCTGTGGTCCCTTCTAGGTCCTTGTCCCTCTTCCCACAGTTCGGAGTCCAGTTGCAAACCCCGCCTCTCTCCACCCTCAAGAAGACTGCTTCCACGAAAATACTTCTCTAAAACATGAACTTTTCCTAGAGACTGCTCCAGTCTCTTTCCTCCCTGCAACCCATGCTCCAGGTCTTATTCTCACTTTACTAAGGATCGAGGCCTTCTGGGCTGAGGGAGCAGCATGATGCTTTTGTGGTCTGGTTTCTGGGGACCCTCTTCGCTTCGGATCTTCCCCTCCTTGCTGGTGGCGGTGGCCTTGGTGGGGCTACTACCTGTTCTCAGGAGCCATGCCAGCACCATCGGAGGGTCTGAGCCACCACAGGAACGCTCAATTGGGGATGTCACCACTGCCCCACCAGAGGCACCCCATCCAGAGAGCCGCCCTGTTAACCATTCTGTCACCGAACATGGCATGAAGCCGCGAAAGGCCTTTCCAGTCCTGGGCATTGACTACCCACATGTTCGCACACCCTTCGAGATCTCTCTGTGGATCCTGCTGGCCTGCCTTATGAAGATAGGTAAGTCCAATTTGCTTGATGCTACTGTCGCTGCCACTGCCACCAGACAAGTGAGCTTCTTGCCCCATCTCTTACCATTTGAGGCTGCCCAGGATTTACAGGTCTGAACTACTCCTATAAAGCAGGAGCCTGCACCCTGCCATCTTGGTTTTTCTCAAACTCCAGCTCTGGGCCTCTGTTCTGAGGCCTGTCAAGATTGGAACCTCCATTGTGCATGGGAGAGAGAGCAGGATTCAAGGATGGGACACTTTTGATACTAGGTATCTTCAGCAAGGCTTCCAGACCTGGCAGGTCTCCTCTGAATAAGCCAGACCCAGAGCCAGGCATCCAGCTATGTGTGAGACATAGAGAAGTGTCTTCTAGCAAGTGACACTTTTTACTCTGTCAACAGCATCCAGTACAATTTATTACCTACTTCACTGGAGGGTGTCCCAGGATGGAGTATATTTCTACTTGGCCTATCTGAGAGTTTGGGTATAGCAGAGACGTGGGTGCAAGGAACATAAGGGGTTCCCGTAGTCTCCCCTTCCTTGATCCCCAGGATGTTACCTGATAGTTTCTGGTGGCAGCAATGCCATCCTTTATACAGTTAATGAGAATTTCTGAAGGCTGTTTGGGGGTGGTAAGAGTGGAGGAGGTTGAAGCTTGGTCTGATCCCAGCTTACCCCAGGTTGGTATCTGGTTCTGCTCAAGGTGCTGCCTGGGCTGATATTTGCCACTTATTTATAGGAGAGGCATAGGGAGAAGGGTTAGGGGTGTTCTGATCTGAAGAGACTTTGAAAGGTCCCTCCTGGAGAATTGGGCTCACTGCCCAGCTTGAGCACCCTGTTCTGCTGGGTGATTGGTGGAACTCCCAGAGCCTGCGTAGCCCAGAAATTCCTGGAAGAGATGTCTAGGGGGGCTTTGCAAGCTGCCTTTGCAAGCTGCCTTTGCTTCCCAGCTAGCTATGGAAGACATGAGGTCCTGGGACTCTGCTCCCCTCTTTGCCTGATTTTTATTGGGCTTGGGGAGTTTTGAGACTTGGCAGGAAGCCTCCCAGCTATCCCAAGGACATGCAGGAGCTGAGAGCTGATGCCAGGCTGGTGTGAGGCAGGCTCTGGGACGTGCTGCAGGAATGAACTGGTGCCTCTGTTTTGATAGATCCAGGAGCTGGCTTCCTGGTGCAGGGCTTTGGTGCTGAGCCAGTCACAGTGGTGGGGCCTGGTCATGGAGCTGGGCCATCAGCACCTATACTCTGATGGTAGCCAGCTTCCTGGAAAAAATCAAGGACTGGACAAGGGGAACCATGTGTACTGATTCTGACATAAATTCATGACCTTGAAGAGCATGGGCCTTTTTCTGCAGGATTCACTTGTGCAATGGGCAAGAATCTTAACTGCTGTTTGAACATATCAATTGAGGCATTAAACCTTGTGTCTGAATTTGTTGTAAGACACTAAAGTGACCATGGTATGTCATTTGCTTGTGTGAGACCAGGAAGAGACCTCACAAATGCTATCTATAAATTGCTTCCTCCCTCTAATTCCCTCACCTTCCAACTACACCTGGCATTGTATGGGGCATTAGGGACTGGCACTTACACTGAGGGTTTCAGTGCCTGCTGCTGGGACAACAGTATGACCACAGAGATTCCACTCTAGGCAGTCTGAAGTTTCTGCCTGCAGGCCTGACGTGGCTTGACCTAATAGGGTCAGGCTGGGTCTGGCCTGCTTTGTCACCACCAGAGTGCTGGGCCCAGGACTCTGGGCAGCTGGAGAGCAGAGATGGTGCTGTGGCAAGGATATCAGTCTTGAAGTCCGGAAACCCAGCTTCTCATCCATCTTCCCTTTGTGACCTTGGGCCAGTCATGCTTCCACACCAGGCAGTTGATCTTTATGACCCTTTCTAGATCTGACATTTCTGCCATTCCCCTCACTGTGAAATCCTGGCAAAGTCATTTAACCTTGGGCCTCAGTTTTCCCATTGTAAAATGAGGAGGGTGGGTATGATCTCCTTTGCAGTTCCAAAAGTCTGTGTCTTTGGCTTGGAATGCATTTTTTTTCCCCCCTGCCTCTGAAAATAAGAGCACTAGCATCTGGCCATCTGGGGAAGAGAGTGGAGGGAAAGGTGGCCAGAAGATCTGAAGGGTTCCTGTTCAGACCCCCACCTCTTTTTTCCCCCTTTACCTTTGTATTGTAGAATTGAGGTTAGAGTTGAGGTTGCATTGTAGAATTCAGCTACCACTCTGCCACTTATGCTGTCTGAGCCTCAGTTTCCCCATGCATAAAATGGGAAATAAAGGCTGGGGGTGTAGCTCAGTGATAGAGCACTTGCCTAGCATGTCCAAGGCCCTGGGTTCCATCTGCAGCACCACAAAAAAAAAAAAAAAAAAAAGGAAATAATGCTGTCTAGCTATAGTGCTACTGATGTGATGATGACATTAATTAATCCACATAAAACTGATTTTGTACACACAGGGAGGGCTCAGTGAGCAGCAGCTGCCCCTTGTAATATTTTAACCACATAATGCAGACATGACCCTGCCCTTTACAGTCTTCCTGCAAGGCAAGAGGATCACAAATCTCTTAATCCTAGGTTGCCACTGGATTTTCTTCCTTAAGGTTTCAAGGTTTTGGGTGTGTCCAGCTGACTATTCTTTCCTTTAAGCTGTCTTCCAGAGCTGGCCCTGGGAGGAGGGGAGATGGTACCAACTGCCTTGGGGAATAGGACTAGTGGGCTGACGCCGTGCTCTCTGCACTGTCAGATACCTGGGACCTTATTTCAGGGTCTTACCTATTCTCTATTCTCTCAACACCCCAGCGTGGGCAGGAGTTAGGTTGAAGTCCTCATTCTGTCAGCTTTGGCAGCTGCGTTCCTTGCAAGGTACCCCTCCTTTAAGAATGGAAAGTGCTGTGTGCAGTTTTCCTTCCTATCCTAATCTCAGCAGAGCCTCAAGGAGCCTTCTTGCAGAGGCTGGTGTGGGAGGGGCAGGGTCAGAGCTGCCATTCTAGAGTAATAGATGCCTATGGATTCTCTACTAACTTGGACTCAAGGGGTGACATTAGGCAAATCATTTCCTTCTCTGGGCCTTTTTAAAAAATCTCTAGGATAGTCAGGGATTCTTGTCTTTTCTTGATGGGGAGGGGCTGGTGGCACAAGGAAGATTTAGAGTATTGGGAGAAGTGTGAGAATGTCCCTAAGCCTTAAGGGCCATTCTCCACCTGCTTCCCATACTGTGGTTTGGCTCCTGCATGAATTCTGCTTTGTCCCAGTTCACCTGACTCCTAGGCAGTGCTGTTCTGAGGGAGAGCCTCACCCAGCTCACCACTGGCAGCACCCGCTATGTTGTTTGTCCATATTCCTGACCTGGAACTCCTGGCAGAGGCCCAGAAGCCCATAAAGCAGGTATTCATCTTGTCTTCTGAACAGGGACAAAAAAGGCTTCTTTTGTACCTTTATATCTTATAGCATTTTTGGTTTTGGTCTTTGTAAAATATATGCTGTCATTTCCTCCTTAGAAGAAGTCTGTGCACAGGGGAAATAAGGTCATTGTTGCCCACTTCACATGCATAGATATCAGGTCCAGCAACTGGTTTCCAGTAAAAATGAGGCTAGAGCTTGCCTCTCCCACTTCGAAAAAAGAGAGAGGAAGAAACAGCTTGAAGGTCACCTTGAAGTTGTTCAAGAAGTCCAGCAACTGTAATCCCAGCAACTTGGCAGGCTGAGGCAGGAAGATGCTGACTTCGAGGCCAGCAGCAGAAATTTAGCAAGACCCTGCCTCAAGATGTAGGGAGGTAGCTAGGTGGTAAAGCACCACTGTATTTAATCCCCAGTACAAACAAAACAAAACCCAGACAAGACTCAGTATAAAGGAAGAGGCATCTTTTTTCTCTTTGGGAAAACAACTGCCTGGCTGCAAGGTGGTGGGAGGGATGGGCTGGGGCTGTAGCTCAGTGGAAGAGCATTTGCCTAGCATGTGTGAGGCACTGGGTTTGATTCTCAGGACCACATATAAATAAATAAAATAAAGATCTATCAACAACTAAAAAACAAACAAACAAAAAACATGGTGGGAGGGAGATCAGCTGAGGCTTGGGAGGAAAGGATCAGGCAGGATGCATGTCTTCAGGAGTACCGGGGCACCGGGAGAGCCTTGCTTGGGCAGATGGCCTGGACTTCATTCAGCTGAGCACCCGTGAGGTTTGCCTTTCCTCTGTCTCAGCCAGCCGAGCTTATCCAGGTCTGGTATAAAGGGAAGATGTGGTCAGAAACCCTGGGCTGTCTACCCCTGCCACTGTCTCTTGGTGACTGTGGACTGTGGGGTTCATGCACATCATTTCTTGAATCAATGAGGTGAAGGTGCTGTTTCCACTTTCTAAGACTGAGGTGGAGATAGATTTGAGGTTGCCTAGTTCACTATAGTGACTTTCACAAGCTTCCTTCCTGTGTTAATTAACTTTCTGTCACCATATCAAAATAACTGAGTTAATCAACTTATAAAGAGATTGACTTTAACTCATGGTTTTGGAGGTTCCAATACATGATTGGTTGGCCTTGTTGCTTTCGGCCTATGGTGAGGCAGCACATCGTGGCATGAATACTGCCTACCTCATAGTCAAGAAGGAAAAGCGGGGACTGGGGATATAGCTCAGTTGGTAGAGTGCCTGCCTCGTATGGCACAAGGCCCTGGATTTAATCCCCAGCACCACCAAAAAAAAAAAGGAGAAGAGGACCAGGTGTGGTGGTGCACTCCTGTAATGCCAGTAGCTTGGGAGACTGAGGCAGGGGGATCGCAGGTTTGAGGGCAGCCTCAGCAGTTTGGCAAGGCCCTAAGCAACTTAATGGAACTATCTCAAAATAAAAAATAAAATCGTGCTGGGGGGCTGGGGATGTGGCTCAAGTGGTAGCGCGCTCGCCTGGCATGCGTGCGCCCCGGGTTTGATCCTTAGCACCACATACTAGATGTTGTGTCTGCTGAAAACCAAAAAATAAATATTAAAATTCTCTCTCTCTCTTAAAAA